ACGTAAAAAACCACTGTCGGCGACTTGAAAAAAAGGCTGTCAGGTGCTGTGGCCTAGGTTTCTCACTGAAAATCCTCGTCCCCCGGCGGCACCTTTTTTTGAATTCTTCCTTTTCAACGCCGTTTTTCGGGGATTGCGGATTTTCTTTGAATTTTTTCGCAATAATATTTGAAAAATAGATAAATTTTAACACATTTTAATGCAATAAAAATTTCTGGTCGGAGTCCCCCTTTAATTTCAAAATTTTGTTTCTTTCTTTTTCACCTGAAAACTAAAACTCGTGTCAAGTTCCATTTTTTCTCTGCTCAAAATCCAATTTTTCGTCACAAAAAACGAGCCGCAACGCAACCGCGACGCTTTCAAGAGCATAGGGAAATCTAGATTTCTACTGAATTTGAGTGTTTTTAATCTATTTAGCCTGATTTTTGTTAGAGAATAAATATATGTTGAATGACAAATTCGGAAAATAGCTTGAATTTGCTGAAAAACTAGAATTTCCATAGTTTTATTCTGAAATTTTGAGTTTCCCTCCTTGAGCCGCGCCGCGACCGCGCCGCTCTCAAGAGAGTGAACTCCAATGCATTTCAACCGTTTTCCGTGATTTCTAGCCCAATTTCCGAGATTTTTTTTTGTCAAAACTAGCTGAATGTACTCGAAATTTGTAAAAAATCTTATTTTCAGCTCTCCACAGCCATTTATTCCGAAAAAACCCACAAATTTGAGATTTTCCAATTTTCAGAAAAAAATCTTTTTTTTGTTCTTTTTCAGATTCCTACCTGATTCTCACCAATTCGGGAAGCAATTGCAGACATTTTCCGCAGTTTTCCGGTTGTGTGGAACCTGGAATTTTTAGGAAAAAAGTGGAAAAATGGGTCAATTTTCGGAAAAAAAATCTGAGAACCAAAAAAAAACAGTAGGACAAAAAAGAAAAAAAAATCAGAGGAGAGAAGAAAAACTTCAAAATCTGAAAATTGAAAAATCGAGAAATGACGTGGCACTTCGAATCTGGGGTGCCACGTGGAAAACGCATTTTGGGTGACTCGGCCAGGTTGAGGCCAATTTTAGGTCAAATTTCATGAATTTTTGGACTGAAAATAGGAAAAAAATCGAGTTTATGAGCTGAAATATAAGTAGAATAGCCAAAAAAAAAATACAGAAAATGGCGAAAAATAGGTACAGAAATGGCGAAAAATTAAAACTTTTGCATCAGAATTGAAAAAAAGCTAGGAGCATATCGTCAGTGGGTCAGAAAAAAGGTGGGAAATGGGATGAGAAACCAGTGAAAATTAAGGGAAATTGGGGGAAAAATCAAGTACAATCGATCAGATAACGTCATTCTTGTGCAGAATTGTGAGCACAATCGCGGTGACGATCACAGCGATGACGGCGAGAAGGATCAGTGTCCATTTCAGATTCTGTTGACAGAAATGGCGTTGAACACGGCGGGCGGTGCTTTTGAACGAGATTGTCTGGAAAAAATCGTTTTTTCTGGAATTTTCGCCTAAAAATCGATATTTCCTACCGATGTTCTCAACGCTTCAGATCGATTCTCTATATTTTCCAGACGCTCGCCCCTCTCCATTATTCGTTCCACATTGTCGGCCATTACCTGAAGAAAAATGGAAAATTTGGGTTTTTGGCTCAAAGAAGCTCACCTGACGAACATCTTCCACTTGCCGACGAATATCAATCATTCTCTGCTGATGGGCGGTCGGGAATTGGTCGTTGTGTTGTTTCTGGAAGAAAATATTTTGAAAATTCAAATTTCCCTCGAAAAGGTTTGGGCCGCTCTCAAGAGCATAGGGAATTCCGGGTTTTCGCCGATTTTAGCTCATTTTTGGTGGAAAATGGGTGAATTCTGAATGATAAATTTGGAAAAATAGGCTGAATTTGCTAAAAAACTAGGATTTCCACTATTTCAACTTGAAAATTCGAATCCCCCTCCAAAAAGTTAGAAGAGCCGCGACGCGACCGCGCCGCTCTCTCGAGAGTGAACTCCACTAAATTTCAAGCGTTTTCAGTGATTTCTAGTCGAATTTTCACGATTTTTCCATCAAAACTAGCTAAAATTCCTGGGAAACAGTCAAAATACCGTATATTCAGGTTTTTACAGCTATTTTCTTTGAAAACGCAGGGAAAAAACGCACAATAAACTTCAAAATATCGGGTTGAAGAATGCCGAGAAGGTCATAGGGATTCGATTGCGCGACGACCATTTGAATATTCGAAGATGCCATAATCGTTCGAATTTTCGAATTTAAGAAGTCGTTGGCTTCCGTTTGGTCCATTCCGTTTTCAGCTACACAGCAATAGACCATCGTGGAGAATGTCTCAATGACAACGACGAAATATAGGTGGTAGCTGGAAGAAATTATCGATTTTTTGGAATTTTAGGCCATTTCAAGCTAATTTTCAGTGATTTTTAGCCATTTCAAGCTTTAAAAAAAATGCAAAAAAAAACACTTTTAGCTCATTTTCAGCTCTAAAAACGACCAAAATCGAATTTTTAAGCATATCTTACCCTCCATCCAGCTCAATGACGCCGTCATTATTGAAGTACGTTCGCACACGTGATCGTATCAGTTTGATCACTTCGGAATCTGAAGAAAATATCATTTTTGGGCTGACAAATCGAATTTCAAGGTTAAAAAATGCGCTTTTTGAGAGGAAAATTCAAATTTTTAGCTTTAAAAATTCGAAAAATCCTCAATTTTTGGCTCACAATCTGCAATTTTTGGGCGGGAAATTCAAATTTTTAGCTTCAAAAAGTCGAAAACTGACCATCTGGCGGTTTTACATCACTATACTTGGTGGCATCGTCGATATTCTCACAAGCGCCCATGGCTACGGGCATTATGTCGCCAGACACTGTTGGTCGGCAAAGGACCACCGACATCACGCGTCCCGGCATCTGAAAATTTGAATTTTGCGGGATTTTTGAACCTAAAATCACGAAAAATAGGAAAAAATCGAAAAATTCAGGCCGAAATCTGAAAAAAAATATTTTTTTTATTTTCTAGCCTAAAAAATATCCTTTTTCAGAGTTTTTATCTCAGAAAACCATTGAAAAACTAAAAAATTGAGATACTTAGGTCAAATTTATATTTCTCCGACAATCGAGGAAACTGTGGAATTCTTTTCACTTTTTTCTATTTTTCTAGGTTTTATGAGTCATCGAAAATTGTTCTAAGCAAGAAAAACTGGACAAAGCAGAGAAAGAACGAAGAAAATCGACCAAAAATCGAAGAAAAAATGACCGAAGATTGAAAAATTTAAAATTTAGTGTTGGATATGCAAGCGCGCTCCATTGAGAAAAATCAGAAAATTTTGAGCGCGAATTTGAAATTTCAAAATCTTAACGTCGAATTTTTCGAATTTCAATGATTTACATTGAATTTTAAGGTTTCCATTTGGCTGAAAAAGCTAGAAAAAACCAAAAAAGACCGAAAAAAGGAAATAATTATAGGAAATTACCCATTTTCAGGCCAAAAAAAGGGGAAGAATGGTGAGAAAAAAAATCACAATTCTTTATAGAAAAAAAATAATCGAATCAGAAGGGAAAAATCAACGAAAGATTGAAGGAGGAAAATGGCAGAAAAAGTTGCAATTTTTTATCAAATAAGAAGGGAAAAAAGTGGGCAAACAAAGAGGGAGAAATAGCATGGGAATCAAGGAGGGTTCAGAGGGAGAGAGACAATTTCTAGACGTTTTTTCTACAGGCGAAACCGCTCATATACAGGCAGAAGGAAAGTGGGCGGAGCTTAAATGCAAAATTTTTGAAATTAAAAAAAATTATTTTGAGAGGAAAAATGAGATTTTAAAAGGGATTTTTCGGGATTTTTACAAGAAAATACACAGAAAATAGGGGAAAATAGGAGGTTCGAAAGGATGGAAGGTGGGGGAAAACGACCCGGAAATACCAGAAAGTTCCAGAATTTTTACAAAAAAAAGTGCGAAAAATGATAATTTTTAGGATGGAAAAGTGTACAAAAATACAAACAATAGGTACAAGGAATGATTTTTTTTTTGAAAAATTATTTTTTTTTGGAGAAGGAAGCTCGAGAAAAAATGGGAAAACCTAGAAAAAAAGGTGATAAAAACGGAGATGACGTGGATGAGAATTGCAGGGGGCGGAGCCTATTTTTTTACGAAGCAAGAATGTCTTTCCAGCGAGATAACGCCGCTTGTGTGAATGTTTGTTTCAACTCCATTTCTGCAAAAAATCAATAAATTACAAAAAATTCTAAAATCCGGAAATTCAGAAATTTGAAAATTCGGAAAATCCGAATCTCTAAAATTCTGAAATTCAGAGATTCTGAAGTTCTCAAATTCAAAAATTCAGAAATTCTAAAATTCAGAAATTTTAAAATTCTAAAATTCTAAAATTCAGAAATTCAAAAATACAAAAATTCAGAAATTCAGAAATTCAGAAATTCTAAAATTCTAAAATTCAGAAATTTAGAAATTCTAAAATTCAGAAATTCTAAAATTCAGAAATTCTAAAATTCTAAAACTCTAAAATTCTAAAATGCAAAAATTCAGAAATCCAGAAATTCTGAAATTCAGAAATTCCGAAGTTCTAAAATTCGGAAATTCTAAAATTCAGAAATTCAGAAATTCAGAAATTCAGAAATTCAGAAATTCAGAAATTCGGAAATTCAGAAATTTAGAAAATCAGAAATTTAAAAATTTAGAAATTCTAAGATTCAGAAATTCTAAAATTCTAAAATTTAGAAATTTAGAAATTCAGAAATTCTAAAATTCGGAAAATTAGAAACTCAGAAATTCTAAAATTCTAAAATTCTAAGATTCGGAAATGTTAAAATTCAGAAATTCTAAAATTCAGAAATTCAGAAATTTCGAAGTTCTAAAATTCAAAAATTCAAAAATTCGGAAATTCAACATTTCAGAAATTCTAAAATTCAAAAAATTCAGAAATTCAAAAATTCGGAAAAAGGGGCGGCGCCTAATTTTAATTAAAAAAGGGGCGGCGCCTAATGTTTTAGTTTTGCGTCAAATATCGTCGTGTGTAAACTCATTTTGAAGCTGTTGCCTAGATTTGGAATTCTAGGCCATTTTCAGCGTGTTTGGACTCAGTTTGAAGCTCTAAACGTGCCAAAACCCGGAAACTTGAAAATTGAAAAAAAAGGAAAACTCACTGGGCACGGCTTGTCTACAAATCTTGAACAAATAAGGCTGACAATCGGAGAATCTCGTCTCAAAAACCTCTGGAATCTCGCTTCTCGTCGGCATTTTCGGTGTATAATGATTGTGATTAATGTGCTCGCAAATGTCCAAAACCTTCTCTCCAATGTCATCAGCAACCCTCTGTCTCATTTTCTGTAGTTCATCGATGGATTCCACTCGGAATACATCCAAAATCAGCTTCCATTCCTCCCAAGACGTCCCCTCTTCGCATCCCATCGCCCCGGTTGCACTTCCGAACCAACTAACCGCCGTTCCAATCACAGAACTTGGTTTTTTGGATTTTGTGTAGAATTGGAGACCGATTTGAGCGGAAAGAAGGGGAACGGCACTATCTGTCGGACTGCCTACTGTAGGTGTTCGTCGGGGAATGGACCCAGAGCATGTGGCTTCTTCCACCTCGTATTTGAACTGTCGAATGTCCTCATCGACGCACATCGCTAGCTCTGTAGAGTTGACACGCACCTGAAAATGGGCAAACTGATAAAATGTTGCTGATAATATGATAAACATTTTGTCAGTTGAGCACTTTTTTCTATCTTTCACAGAAACTGAAATAATTGAGTTTGAAGTGGAACTTTTATGAAATTGGGATTATGATGGAGCGCACGGTGTTCAGTAGAGCGCACTTGCTCTAACTAAGTGCTTCTTGATTTCAAAGTAGTCGATAAACTTGAAAGTTTTCATTTTTATTACTGTAGCAGATTCTCTAGATCGTAAGTATACCACAATGGGTTCTTCTATGAAATTGGGGTTATGTGGAGCTACTTGCACTTTGAGCTCACATATCTCGGTTCCTGTAAAAGATGTCAAAAGGTGGTCTGATAACATGTTGCTGATATTATGGTAAACATTTCGGTAGTTGGTTATCTATTGATATCTCTTACAGAAACTGAGATAATTGACCACGAAGAAAAAAAGAAAGAAAACGAAATTTAAAAATTTATAATTCAAATTTTTGATCTGAACAAAATTGATTCTGACAAAAGTTGAAATCCAAATCTTGGAATTTTCGAGATTTTCAGCACAGAACGTTTGATTCCCCAGTCTTCCAGCTAAACCAGTTTCCGGTTCTCTGCGTCTCTTCCCCTCTCG